ACTTTCATCTTTCTAGCTGTGTTCTGCAGGAATCACATTTCTTGTCCGTTTTTTAAGAGGAACAAAATATTCGCGTCTTATCGCAATTATGTCTGTGATGGTAGACAAATCTCCTGCAGGGTTCTATAGGTGGAGTTTCAAAAGCTTTGTGCGGCCTCTAGATGTGGCCATTTATGTGATATATGTGATTTCCAGCTAATAAAATTGTCAACTAGTTAATGAAGATTTTAAACCAAGTGAAAGACCGCTTAAGTACATAAGTAATGGATTGTAAGTTGAAATTTTCTGATCAAATAGGTTTTACAATTAGCAAGTTGTTCATAAGTTTGTTTTAGGTGGACGAGTATTTATGCTTTTGTGTTTTATATATTGCTGCTAATAAAATTATTTATCAGCATAATTTCATTCATTTTAAGAACATTAATAACTTGTCTTGCATATTCATGACACCACACGATAAACCTATCTATCTAGCCACTAAAGTTTTTTCTTCTCAAAGTGTTTACGTCACCAAACAATGAGATAGTAATCTTTCCGAACTGGTGACCATTTCTACAGAAAGGCATAAACACAATAGCGCTAAATGCATGATTAATTGAATATCTTCAGATTTCTCCTAGCTATTAATTTACCACATCTGTAGAAGCAATAATTATGATTACTTCCTTTTACGTTGAGACAATGCAAACTTTTCACGATTGATTTAGCAACTAAAAAAGGTATTTGCAAAAACAAAATTGATATGCCGGACATGATTGCCCCATGTTGCATAAGATCTGTTCTTTGCAGCCCAAGAAAAACGGATAATACTGAAAGATACTAGGATTAAAGTGAATAATTAGATGTACAGATTGCAGACCTTTTACAATGTAACTACTTAGGCACTTTCAAAAAAAGGTAACATGTATCCGTAACTGACGTTTTTGTGTTAACCTGGACAGAAGTCTAAAATCCTATTCCAATAGTTTCTACCTAGCAAGCAGGACTAGACGAAAAAATCCTGCAATATCGCAAGACAGAGAACTTAACTATTCCAGAAACACTCCATTTGCTGAAAAATTATCATTTAGCACTGTTGTCTATCACATTTATATTCCATATTACTGTACATGCAAACAAGGATCAATTTTTCAATGTAAGATTTGTTGTTTCCAAGTCGGTTATCTCGGCAACAATTTTTGAGTTTTGCTACGCCAGAACCTTGTATTAGCTTTTATGTGATTTATGCATATTTTCACATACATCAATTCCTAAGTACAGACTTACCTTAACGTTAATACGGAATTATGTGTATAATAACTTGAATGAAGAAATCACATCAGTAACGTTGTTGCAATATACTTAGAAGGGCGTACGGTTATCTCTACATATGCTAGTCTTGTAAAAAAACGCGAAAATGGTGGATGTTAACATTTAATGCACATAAATAATAATTAACCTTTTGTATGCTATTTCTTAATGCCAATTTGATTCGAGAGGCATTACTGTGCCAATTTCATTCCAGAGGCATTATACATGGTATTTGTTAAGTTCTAATATGTCAGCATAGGATTACTCGGATAATTTAATCAAGAAAAGTCTATATGAACATATGTGAAGTTTTTAGAAAGAAGCGTTTTTATTTTTATAAGCACTATTATTTTTAACTGCAACCTAATAAGGTAATTTAAAGTGACATAATTCAGTATAAGGCGTTATTCTTTTGCACCTCAAATGGCGTACTTGCAAACATGTCTTGCGATATATTTTTCAAAAACAATTTATTACGTCGCTGATATTTTCCATTGTGAAATGGTTTTCTGGACGGCAGCATTTTTTCATCTTAGGAGAGGATAGTAATAGAGGGTTTTTGTGTATACATTATCAAGCTAATCAGAAAAAATATTTACTTCCAGTGGCGTAACAATTTTGTTGTAAAATATATCAATACATCACTTTGCACACTAAAATATGTTATGCTGCATCTATATCCAAAGCATGCCAAAAATAAAAATAATATCCTAACTACTTTCGAAGATATAGAATAAAAAAGGATTCAGCACTATATAACTTTAAATTTAAATCATTGTGGACATATATTCATATAAACCTTTTTTCATAAAATTATTTCTGGAACTAATCACTTCATTGAGAAACACCTTATTTAGCTAACTTTTGCTGTTGGATAATGTTTAACAATTTGGTATGCTCATTTGCAAGGTATTAGGTATATGTGTTAGGGAAAAGCTTAATGATTCAAGTTTGTATCATCCAGTTTCTATAGTGATATTCCTTTTCAAGAATCTGTTTAAGAATAACCGTCACGGATTCAATCGGTTGATACCTATTGCTTCCACCTTAGGCATTTAAATATACTCGTCGATCAAAGCACACACTATTTTTGGTAATATCCTTGACGATTTGCTATTAAAAGTACGTTGATCTTGCTTAAGTACAATGGCATAGTGCCTATTCAAATTGACCACACATATAACCTACACATACTATTATGAATATTCTGTTTGCAAGGGAGCCATGGATATTTACGAAATAATGCGGTAACAGAAATCGTGTAGGCGCGCGAGTTTCAAAATAATTCTCGCTAGTATGAAAATGACATTGCTTTTTAAAAAATGGCGTCCAGTTGATCTTACTGTACACTTGCAACGCAACATTCGCATGGGTTCATAAAAGATAATGTTCTCCACAAGTAAGACTGTATTAGAAATAAGTTATTTACGAACATGAATAACAGAAGAAATTGAATAGATCAAGTCAGTCAAGTCGGCCCATCCAATTGGTTGCCAGTCACCGCCCATTTGAAAGGAAACAAGAACTTTGCGATCAGACATGCGATAAGTAAATCGCGAGCGCAATGATACTGGGAAATTTGTATGTGTATACGTCTTCTGGGTCCGTATAATTACCATGATTAAAAGTGTATGGATATATTTTTTATCGCTAAAAAATGAGCGATTTTGATCGTATTCGTCTTCTTCCCGTAGCTCCGCTGAAAATGAATCGATTAGCTTGCAAATATTTTTCGTCCTTTCTATAGCAGTAAGGTTGTGTCAAATTTTCATCAAAATCAGAGCGGTTTTTGTGTTATAGGGTGTCAAGGACTAGCGGAAATGCAACATATTTGGGAAATTTTTCACAATTACAATAAACTTCCATGCAATTAGAATTCAAATAAGGTTATGTTTCTAATAACGGGGCAATTTTCAGTAAATGTTTTGTTATGTTTCATTTGTTATTGTTACATGATTGTACAGTATTTCAATGAAAATTGCCTGTGTAAGCCTAAATATTCAATTTATTTCTTAAGTATTCCCACTGATATTATAATGCTGAATAAGTGAGAAAAAGTGTACTAGGCTAGATATTATTGGAACTCTTACTAACCATTTCTGGTAACATTAACTGCGTTTTGACATTAGGTCTAAAGTCGATTGTAGTACTTCGACCTTAATCGAACATGACATTTACATTTCCATTATGTCTTTTTGCCAAAATCAACATTCAAAATAATTAAAACCTGTTTTAATTTGCTGAAAAAGTGTTTGAAGTCTGTAAGAACTAAAGTTAGAAAAAAGAACGCTGGCTCTATAACCACATTTTTTGGACGTCATTGTATGGTTCACTTCATCGTGACAGTAACGTAACGTCAAATGTCTGAAGCATACGTCAAGAGTAGGGTGGTCGACATTTGCCATTATTAACACTGAAAGTTTCATTTGGAAAATAGACTTCTAGCTTCCCTAAAAAACAATAAAACATGATCCAACGATAACTAAAACAACCTCATTTCACCTACAAAGATGTACTCCAAAGAGACATAAGCTTCCTAGAGGCGTTTTTAACCAAGTTGCGTTGACAGTCCAGTGAATTAACCTGAAGTACTAGTTTAAAATGAGAACAGGTCTCAACCAAAATTGAAATTAGAGTTTCCAAAATTCTACATTTTTTGGTTGCGTTTCCTAATAGTTACGAGGCTTACTATGCTCGCTACAGTTCACACGAACTAGGCCACGAAGGGCTTGGCATGCTTCCCTACCTCAATGATCTTCATCACCATGTCATTTTACAGACTGTTATATTTTTTTGTTAAAAGCAGTTAAACTGGTTAGATCTTGAATGATAAACACGGAGCAGCACTGGGAAATTTGATACAGTTTAAATATTGAGTGATTATTCACCAGCCTAGTTGTTTTACAGGTACTAAGCGAGATACTTAGAAATAAGTAAGACTAACCACCGCACAGGGACGACCGGAAGACCGTACCATCATAAAATCGCATGGGGCCTATCAGGGTTGTGTAGTTTCCACTACTCTGTAACACTTAGAGGGCTGGCAATGGTTTGACGTGAGTGTTTTTAAATAGACCAAAGTAATCCTTCCGAACGTCAAAAGTGTACTTTTCCCTTTGTCAAAGCCTTGAAGCTAAGAGTGTTGTCACTTGCTGTTCTCATCTTTAATTATTTTTTTAAGAGTATTTTAGGCTGCTAAAATTGCAGAATATGTTTTTTCCACGATTAATGATATCCAGTGATGAACCACAATGAAGCTGTATGGTATGGTAATACAAGCAACGTATCATTTCTGCTTTTTATATTTTTGTCTGCTCCATACAGATTCTTGGAACTAGTGCTTTGTGACATATTACAGGCAGGCAAAATGAAAGCAAGGGTGAGAGAAAACGAGGTAAGGAATGAGTCGGATGTCATCAAGTGCCCTTTTACGGCTCTGTAATAATTTCACAGTATTCCAGGGTAAAATTTCATCTGACAGTCTACATATCATTGCTGTGTACGGTATTACATTACCAAGTAATTCACGAACGTACCCCTGATCACACAGAGCTTTCTCGACGATGACGTAACCCCATTGAAAATCCGATCAATGTAAAATGTTTTCAAAATCATCTTCGGTTTGCATTCAAAGCACGATCCTTCTAGACGTTCGATCTCCGGTGACCGGTACTCACTGCACTTCGTGTTTAAAAGTGAAAGGTACTTACCAAAAATTTCATGGTGGTCACTGGTCGCAGCCACGAGGACATATACGAATTATGAATCAGAGTGAAATCCCTATATATACCCTCTCTACTAGAGCATCCTCACTCCTTATCACCGGAGAGAAACAAAACCTCGCGTTAGGCACTCGGATGAGACAGTTTTTCTCCTTGTGAAATGAAGTAGGTGGATAGAAGTTGTTTATTTTTACGCATTTTGCGGTTGTGGCCCGCCCGCGTACGTCGGATTTTAGTAATTGTTGCCATTCCGAATATTACAAAAACTTGACGAAATCGGTGGATCTATTGGGTCATTATCAGCATACCTTTTATGGGATTTTATATCAGAATAATGACGTCAAGTAGATTGACACTGTACTCCTATGACTTCGAAACAGCTTCTGATACAATTTTTCGCGTACTACAAGATCATGAAAAACACGTAGTTCTTGACACAATCATTAGTTTGCTATTTGGGCTTTTCACGAAAAAATATCTTCAGATTGCAGCAATGGGCAGGTCGGTACCTGGTCGCCTCATTGCTTTGGAGCTCTGGTGTAGAACCATTTGTCAAAATGTGTGATATCTGATCATAGTAATTTTTGATACGCATTTATAAACACGCACTGCTAACCTACTCAATAAAACCGTTCTATTATCTAACTTGCAAAATTATTATTAATTTAACTGAATCAATTAAACACATTAGGGGTAATGAACAACAACAACTGACAACATAAACATAACATTAAAACCAACGAAATGATTACAAAAATTGTTGAAAGTGGCCCCCGTCACTCGTTGAAATATCCTTGGAGTGTCATTTATTCTATCACAAGCTGCAACTATTATTTCTCTTAATTCCTCTACAGTGTTAGTGGGACTTGTGTACACTAGTGTCTTAAGATAGCCCCACAAAAATAAATCTAAACTGTTGAGGTCTGGGGACCTTGGTTGCCATTCTTGGGGCCCGCCGCGGCCAATCCAACGATTTGGATAAACAGTTTGTAAATAATTTCGAACTGCTACACTGAAATGCGCTGGTGCACCATCATGCATGTACCACATATTGTTTCTTATTACTAACGGAACATCATCAAGCAGCAAAGTCTGTCTGTCAGGTCGTCCCGGCAAGAAGAATGGGCCAATAAAGAGGTTGCCAATAACTCCTGTCCATACGTTAATTGAAAATTCGTGTTGGAAATGGGTTTCGGTTACGGCAAATCCACTAAAATTCTCCAAATAATTTGGTGGCTAGCGACCTTTCTCGTGCTCGTTTCAGGATGTTCTTCGACTTCGTGCAGCACTGCTTCATCAATTTCAGGTGTTGTCACACTTAGAGGTCTACCTTCAGATGTTCCTTTTCGGACAGAACCAGTTTCAACAAGACGACGATGAATATTTGAAAAGGTTCGACTATCTGGCAAAGCACGATCGGGATATCTCTGGTGATAAATCCGTCTGGCTTGCTCACCGTTACCATCGGCAAGGCCATACACGTAATGCATTTCCGCCATTTCTGCATTTGAATAATTCACCATTATTAACAAGATTGCAAAAACTAAATTATGAAAAAGATGTCACAGCGAACAGATTTGTCAGATGCCAAAAGCCAGTGACATATTCCAGAGCAACTAGATATTTATGGCTAAATTGCATTCTTCAATTATTACATTAATTTTCTCGTACAATAGAACGGTTTTAATTTTTTTACTCAAAAATGGCCAAACGAGGAAGGACAACAATTAAAGAGAGATCATTTGTTTTAAATTCAATGGGGAATTAAAAAATTTTACTTGTCGAAAAACCATTGGCGTACCATTTTTTTCTTAAACAATATCGAAGTCAATACTCGTACGCCACTGTTAGGGCTGAGAATTATTTTTGCAATGAAAAATATGCAGCTTTACTAACTCTCACTACGTACTAAATATCAGTGAAATGTCTGAAGCGGTTCTGAAAATATTAATTAATTTCCATTTTTTTCCTAAGGAAACATTTTTGGACCATAGTTTATAAAGCAAACTAACATTAATTTTTCATGTAGATTCACACCATTAAATATTCGCATATCATTAAGGAACACCCCGTATAGGTAACGTCGCCCCCACCTCGTCGTCTGCAAGTAGCAGCCTACGACCCATAACCAAAGGCGCACGGCAAGTGCGACGGATAGCGACGCGATCCGTCTGTTGAACATATTTTTAAGTTTATCTGTTCCAAGGGCAAATGTAGAGAGAAATAAATCAAATAGGTGCTTAGATTTACCGGAGTTTGAGGTGCATAAATATACGAACATCAAAAAATTGCGGTACACCTTATCGTCGAATATCTGATACCTAAAAAGTTGTTCTTAAGTGATCAGAATACCCTGAAACGTCAAAAATCGGTTTTTATTTCTTTTTTGGATTTGACAATTTTCACCGCCGTCACTAGACTTATTTATAGAAACGACGTAGCCTTTTTGTGTTTGGCACAGTAGTATCTTGTATGAAATCTTCATCCAAAATCAAGCAGTACCTTCCAACTTGTAAACGGGCCAATAATTTGAGTATAGACCGGCAGGCAAACATACCGATAGAGATTAGTGACAATGGTTTTTCGTGATGTTCATAACATCCAAAAAACATAATATCACATTTTAGAAATTTTTACTCAACAGTAGATGAGAAGTAAAATAGGAAGATGCAGCTGGATACGGTTGTAATTTCCGAGCTTAAAGTTTAGAGCAACAATAACAATCAGTGACGCAGTTGAAACATGTCAACACCTTGAGTAAAGGTTGAGCTGTGTACAGAACGAAAATCAAATGAAAGCACATGTGACGTTTTCATTTGTTGTTGGAAGGTATTGGAATGTGCGCAATCGAATTCCCAACGCCACCTTGAAAAACGTTGGCTTAAGTTGGCTCGCACAGTACACACCGATTCGAACACCTACAAATCTGTAACCACATGTGCCTTGGCTTGAGTTGGAATCTAGGTCTGTACGCGGCTTTAGGAATACTGTTATCAACAAAAGAAAAGGTATGCCATTTTATCGACAGAGATTCCAACGTTTGGATAGTAGCCATTTTTGAAGGAATAACAGGTTTTGATATTAGGCATGTCAGATTTGTTTCGCCTTATCAACTTATGGCATATATCTACAAGGTGTTCGAAAAATATACGGAGATATATTAGAGGGCGATTCCTTATTAAGAAAAAAATTCTGTAAGCATGGGTCCGGAAATGCAGAGTTGCGAAGATACACGGTGATAAATTTAATTTCTTCATTTATTAATATCTTAATATTCAGTCGATTCTATCGAAATTTGGCAATATTATTTGAGGCTAACCTAGCCCTTCCTCAATCGATTCAAATAATAGGACCAGTGGCGTCCCGGGGTCGTTTTAGCAAAAATTATTGGCAAAAAAATTACACCACTGCCTTTTCTGAAACATTGATATTTGTTGTTTGATTGAGCATCTAAAAATACAACTTCCTTGCCTTGTGTATATTTTTCGTATCTCACTTCGTTTTTGTGAAAAGAAATAATTGCCGTTTTATCGCATGACACTGGACAAAATTGTACAATTAATTTTTGTTTAAAAAGAGCAAGTGTATTGGAAACAAAAAAAAAATGCCACTCAATACAACAAATAATGTTGCCAAATTTCAACAGAATCAAGTAAATATTTTTTAAAATATTAATAAAAAAAAATATCACCTGATCTTGAAAACTGCATTTCCGGACCCATGTTTATAGAATCTTTTTTTTATATTTTTTAACAAGAAAAAACCATCTATGAACGAGTACAGCTGTAGATATGAACAAGTTACTATCTAGTTGTTGTTATTACCTATCAAATAATACAAAGTGCCAGAAAATATGTTTCTGTTCTCTTTTTTATGTTAGAATAAGAAGTAATTCTACTTATACTTTTATCTCAAAAGCCGTTACCAAAACGGACAAACGTCATCAAGAATATCACGTAATTTAATTAGTGCTGTATCCTTTTAACCCTCACTGAGCTACTCTATCTAATAATGATAATGCATTATACGTCTCTTTAGATTTCAACAAGGTTTGGTCCCAAATTCTTTTGCTCTATACATTCCTAGTATTTGAAATATTCAACTCGTGCCATTAGAAATGGTAAGAAATACAAAGACGGTTAAATGGAGGAAATGTCGCGCATTGCATTATGGTACCTTAGAAAATAGTATTTATAAACTTTCAAAATTGGTAGTATTTTCAAAGGTAAATGGGAAAACAACCCAAAATTGCTTTTATTTTCTCCTTGATTTGAAGTGGTATTTCAAAATAAATTGCACATTTTCATTTCCACTTTATCATCAAGTTTATTTTTTCGTGTGAATGCATCATTCTTTGACGTAGCGAAATCTTAGATAATAAAAAAATATATTCCCATATTTGGCCTTGAAAACAATAGCTTATCGCACTACTACATTGCCAAATCCAAGATTGCTCTAATTTTTGAACAGCATTTTTGAACGATAATCAGATAATATGACTATTTATCGACTATCACACAGTTATTTCAGCACGACAGATCATGTTTACAGACATATTAGCCGCAGATTAATATTATCTAAATGCTCAATATGTGCATTTCAGATATGACGGATATGAAATGAAATGGATTGAGAATATCGAAAGCAGCGAAAAGAGCCTGACAAAAATAAATAGTTTCCGTTTACTTCTGCCACTGAACACTAAAACCTCTTTCATCGATGTACTAGGGGAATTTACATGCGATCAGGAGAGTTTCTGAGCTGTGTATTACTATGTTAACATTTGGAGACATAAACCGAAAAGTCATACTGTACGCCTTGAAGAAGAAAAAAAGTGGCAATATTAATTTCCGATTTATTGCCAGAAAATCAAAAATTTCGTAGCTTTCTAAGTCCAACCTTGTATCCCTTACCGTTACTGAGATTCCAATGGTAAAAAGCCGAACTTAAAATACCCAGTATAAGTAACACCTTTATCAATACTATTTAACCAGAATTAGAATTTTTTGATTAGCATGGACGTAAATCGTCAAGACAAGAATCCTGTCTAAAAACATTTCAGCTTTTTCATTTGTTTTAATGTACAATACATTAAAAATAAATGAAATAAATTACAGTGTTACCATTTTTTCTTCTGTGAGTCAAATTCAAAATTCAAATTCAAAATACATTTATTTGCCAAAAAACAAAAACAA